TTACAAAAAGCTGAGAGGATTTCACAACTCAAAGAGAATAAGATGAATAAGAAACAGGGAAAAGATGAGGAAATCCATATGAGGAAGCAAAGAAGCGAGGAATTAAAGCTAATGATCAACAAAGATATGGGGAGTCACACCCCTCAATAGGGATAAAGCCTCATTACCTGAGACACATTCCATTCAACTTTTTGCTGCCCACTCAGTTCCTCTAGAAAAATGAAGTATTCAAACATTTGGAAACTACAGTGAATTCCACAATTATTTTACTTCTCTCCTGGGATCACCCTGTAAGTATAATAATACTTCATTCATTACAAATGTCTATCAATAAGGTTCTGGTCTTGAAAATGTATAAAATAGTTTTCAGGTTTCCAGGATTCAGTGTTTTTTCTTGGGAATGAATACAAGAGGATATGTACTGGAAGTGGTGCTAGCTCTCATTTACAGAGGAGTGAAATGAGAAAACTAAGATCATGGCTTCTGGTCCCATCACTTCAAGCAAATAGATGGCAAAACAGTGGAAACAGTGACAGACTTTATTTTGGGGGGCTCCAAAATCACTGCAGATGGTCCACTGCAGCCATGAAATTAAAAGATGCTTGCTCCTTGGAAGAAAAGATGTGACCAACCTAGACAGCTTATTAAAAAGCAGAGACAAATTACTTTGCCATCAAATGTCCATCTAGTCAAAGCTATGCTTTTTCCAGTAGTCATGTATGGATGTGAGAGTTGGACCATAAAGAAAGCTGAGTACCGAAGAATTGATGCTTTTGAACTGTGGTGTTGGAGAAGACTCCTGAGAGTTCCTTGGACAGCAAGGAGATCCAACCAGTCCATCCTAAAGGAGATCAGTCTTGAATATTCATTGGAAGGACTGATGTTGAAGCTGAAACTCCAATACTTTGTCCACCCGATATGAAGAACTGACTCATTGGAAAATACCCTAATGCTGGGAAAGATTGAAGGGAGGAGGAGTAAGGGATGACAGAGGAGGAGATGGTTGGATGGCATCATCGACTTGATAGACATGAGTTTGAGTAACCTCCGGGCGTTGGTGATGGACAGGGAGGCCTGGCGTGCTGCAGTCCATGGGATCGCAAAGAGTCAGACATGACTGAGTGACTGAACTGAACTGAACTGAAAATGAGATAGCACTTAAGTGACTGGCTAAAAATCTTCATAATCAATAATATTTATTTTCACTATTCAATGAAAAGGGCTGTCTTAAAAAAACTCTCCAAAGATCTACTTGCTGTCAAATATAATAATTCTCCTGCATATTTCTGCTGCATTTGACTTGGTTAACTACTATCTGATATTGAGTAGCTATTAATTTGTAACAAACCATTCTCAAGCTTAGTGGCTTTAAAAAGCAATCGTTTATTGCTGCTCACACATCTGTGAGGCAGCTAGAGTTTATCTAGGCTGAGGTCAGCTGGGTGGCTCTTCTTTTGAAGATGTGCTAGGTGGCTAGGGAGTCATCCTTCTTGTCAGTCTAGGAATCTAGCTGTGGCATCTTTTTTTTCCCATGGCAATGGCAGAAAGCAAGAGAACAAGTAACATCTGAGGTCTTTAGGAGGTAGGCCTGGAATTGGTACACTGTCATTTCTGTCACATACAATCAGTTAAAGCAAGTCACACGGCCAAAGGGCAAGAAATACACTTTATTATCAATGAGGTCAACCACAAGCTAGTGGGTGGATGCTCAGATAACTGGAGAATTGGAATCAGTAATGCAATCTACTATATCCTTACTTCCTGAAACACTATCCTCTCCCCCTTTAAAAACACACAGTACTACTGTGATCCACTCATATTTTTTTTTCCTTAACCCTTTTTCTTCAACCTCAGTACTGTATGTAAGCTTCACAAAAGGCTTAGCTTTTCTAAGTTTCCTCATTCTCTCCATGTGTGTACTCTTTCTAAGAAAGCTAATCCAGGATCAGACTCTCAAATTCCCCAATGGTCATCTGCAGTTTACCACTGGGCATATCCACATTTTCCTTTGAAACTGCCTAAACTCACAACCTTTGGTCTATGCTCCACTTAAATCAATGTTTCTTTCTAATACAAGGCAGTATCTCCAAAGACTTGAGTCTTTAGATCATATATGATACGAATGCAAAGAAACAAAAAATCAAAGCCCAATGAAAACTTACCCTACATTAATAGGAATTTGACATCTCTAAAATTTAGAAGAGACTATATCTAAAAGAAAATGATAATGATGAGAACAGTATCAAACACCAATTCCTATGAGAAATGGTTAAAGTTATTAATTTTTTTCAATCCAGAGATTATATGGCACATTACAACCACCATGTTTAGATAATTTAGTGTCTGGTATAGGAGGACCTGGGGCTTCCCAAGTAGCTCAGTGGTAAAGAATCTGCCTGTCAATGCAGGAGATTCAGGTTCAAGCCCTGGGTCAGGAAGATCCTCTGGAAGAGGAAATGGCAACCCACTCCAGTATTCTTGCCTGGGAAATCTCATGGACAGAGGAGTCTGGTGGGCTACAGTCCATGGTGTCACAAAGAGTTGAACGTGACTTAATGACTAAACAACAACAACAGAGGGATCTGAGGGGTTGTTTTTGGTAGCAGAACACTCAGTGGTCAGATTTGGGGAGGAAAAGTTTTGCTTGATATAAGGAAGACATTTTTAGTAAGAACTGTACAGAAACAAAATGGGCTGCTACCTGTATTTTTCACATGTCACTCTTATTTCCTGAAATGCTTGTTCCTTTTCCTTCTTGTCCAAAATCCTATTTACCCTTCAAGTCTTATCCAAAGCTTTCATTCCTCTATAAATTCCTGATTACTCAAATTTTATTGACCTCTTTCAACTCATGTTTCTAATCTCTTACCCCACCCCAATTAAATTAAGTGATCTTTGAAAGTAGAAACCTGACATACTATTTTATAACTTCAAGTATTAAGCAGAGCTCTGAGCTTATAATAGCCATTCAGTAAATTCTTACTGGTTTACTAGTTTTTTGTTTGTTTGTGTTTTATTTAAGTATAGATGGTTTACAATATTATGTTAATTTCAGTTGTACAACATAGTGACATGGTTTGGGGATTTTTTTGCAGATTATATTCCATTATAGATTATGACAAGATAATGGATATAATTCTTTGTGCTATACAGTAAGATCCTTGATGTGAATCTATTTTATGTATAGTAATTTGTATCTGTTAATTCCATATTTGATTACATATTGGCTGATTTCCAATCTGCAATCATTAGACTTGATTAGAATTTGAATCAGATTGAAATGTTCAGGAATCTGATCATTTCACTTGATTTCACAAGTGGATGTGCTCAGTCGCTCAGTCGAGTCAGACTCTTTGCAGCCCCATGGACTGTAGCCACTAGGTGCCTCTGTGGGAATTTCTGTGCAAAAATCCTAGAGTGGGGTGCCGTTTCCTATTCCAGAGTATCTTCTCAACTCAGGGATTGAACCCATGTCTCTTGTGTCTCCTGCATTGACAAGTGGATTCTTTACCACCAGGGCCACCTGCAAAGCCCCACAAAAGGGTACAGTTTCTGATTTTAATGATAGACTGAAGGAATAGATTTTGCCATCACTTAACATCCAGGCTTATGTTTTTTAAAAAAATTAAAACCCACTGAATTTAGAGATCCTATAAGATCTTAAATTTTTAGCATAAATAATTCACTTGGAGAATTAGCAAAATATGCCATCATTTCTTTGTATCTGGAAATTATTTAAAACAAAAATCAACTGGTAACTGAGAATATACGATGTGGAAGAACACACACAATGCTAAAGAACTGTAACTCCAGTTTGTAGTCAGGTCTCCCTGTTGTCATAGTTACCAATGTACCAAGCAGACTCCTTCCTGAATCACACTGCAAATCTTCAATGAAAATAAATGACTCTTCAAGCTTTATTTTTCTCTATCCATGAACTGAGCCTACAAAATGGCATTGATGACATAGTTTTTTGGTTTTTTTTTTTTACATTTTGAGCAAGATTTTCAACATACAAAAGGAATAAGGTTTAATCAAAACAAGTGCCTCTGATGAAGGTCTTCCCTCATTTGCTCAGCAATTCATTAAGTAGGTAGGTTTTGGGGACACAACTACAATCATGGCCCAGGATGGAGAGACAAATAAGAGATGCATTTCAATGAAATGCAATCAGCGTTGCACTGGAAGCAGAGAATAGAGATTCGTGGAAACATAAAAGAGAGACACCTCATAAAGTTTGGACTTCTGGTGCAGTCAGATCAAAGGGAGGGTCCATCCTGGGATTCTCAGTGTATTGTTCCTATGAAATTTATTTATTTGGGGGGATGGTGGTTGTGAATAGACTATTTTTTCTTCTTTTTAAAATTTTATCATTGGAGAATAATTGCTTTACAATGTTGTGTTACTTTCTGCTATACAACAAAGTGAATCAGCTATATGTATACATATATCCCTTCCCGCTGGAGCCCCCTTCCCACCCACCCCACCCTACCCCTGTAAGTCATCACAGAACACTGATCCGAGCTCCTTGTGCTACACGGCAGATCCCCACTAGCTATCTATTTTACACATGGTAGTGTACATATGCCAATGCTACTCTCTCAGCTCATCCCACCCTTCCCCTTCCTGAGATGTGTCCACATTCTCTGTGGCTGTGTCTCTACTCCTGTCCTGCAAATAGGTTCATCAGTTTCATGCATCATTTTCATGCATTAATATGTGATATTTGTTTTTCTTTTTCTGACTTACTTCACTGTGTATAACAGGCTCTAGGTCCATCCACATCACCACAAATGACCCAATGTCACTCCTTTTCATGGCTGAGTGTATTCCATTGTGTATATGTTTGGTCACTGTATTCCCAGTCACTTTGGGTAGAGGACACCGGTGTTGCCCTGCAGGCTGGGCTCAAGGAGCACAGTGAGCTGGCCAGGGCTCCACATACCGAGTTCTATCATCTGCTGATATTCACGCTCTGCCTCCTTCTGCTTTGGCTGCAGGAACTCCTTCACAGACATCCTCCGGGCCATCCTGCTGTCACTGGAAGTCCTTATTGAAGATCCGGAGCTTCAGATAAATGGTTTCATTTTAATTATAGACTGGAGTAATTTCTCCTTCAAACAAGCCTCCAAACTGACACCTTCCATCCTCAAACTAGCCATCGAAGGGCTGCAGGTAAGTTCACTGGATGTACTAACACCTTACGAGACTGCATGTGACCATGTGCTCTTTTCTTATTGCAACTAAAGTAACATTTGTCTTTGAGAATGGAAAAAGAAAATTTCGATAAAATCTACCTGTGAGTACTCTATTTTTATTCCAGCCTCAGTTTAGATGCTGTTGTTGTTGTTTTTAAATTAGACTCCATTTTCATTAATAGCTGTAAATTATGGTTTCCACGGGTACAAATTACCTACTGTAGCAATTATGAAGAAAGCTTGGGGATGTTTAGCCAAATCCATCTGAGAGTTCACAAAAATTAAAGCTAGAAAACATCTGCTTTATGAGAGTGCTCTTACAGTGCGGTGGCATGGAAGCTTTCCGGGGTTTCTGGGAGCATCTTTGCACAAGAAAATGTTCCTGGTGGGTCCTTACTCCCCCAGATGCTATACGCCGAGGTGTGTGTACTAAAGGCTATCACTTCTGGGCAGATAAAGGAAGCAAGCAGAACTCTACTTCCTGTTTGTGTGACCAGTCATCAGAACCTTGGGAAAGGGGCTTTTGTGCTGTGTAGAGGTTAGGGGAGTCAGTCCCTCGGGTTCCTTCTGTTTAAACGACCAGTGATTCTGTGAAAACTAAGTCAGAGGGGCAATGCTGTTTAACTTTGTTAAACATTACAATACAAAAGAAAAGGCATACAGGGAGATTCAGAAACAGCACAGATGAAACTCATACCCATTCTTCATTCTGTAGGAAGATTGACTCAATGGAGTGACTCCTCTCCCAACAGCCTGCAGTTACATGCAGCTATGTAGACAGCAAAATACCTGTTAATTCTCAGATCAGGCAGCCAGTACTTAAGCTCTTCAAAATACAACTAGGAAATCCATTTCGATCCCCTATCCTACTCCAATGTAATGAGTAATTGATGCGCCTGCTTCTTAAACTGTGGCTGATTCACATTAGACTTCCGGCAGATATGCAGCACTTGTTGGGCTTCTGATGAATTTATATTTATTGAATGGATCTTATTTTGTTGAAAGGGTTTCCTGTTTCAGAACAGGGGCAAGTACACGCTGTTCCAAGAATGCCACATGGTCCTGGGGAGCTACATCATGCAGTGTGTTGGCGGCACATTTTTAAAGTTGCTTTTGTATTTCTAGATTACAGTGTTTCCTGCCTTGCCCTAAAAATCTCAATCACAGACTTTTCTGTCCTTTACTGCCAATCATTTTCTCTTAGCTCCCTTTTTCTCCACCATCCTCTCTTCTAAGCCTCTGAACATCTGATCTCTCTCTCTCTCTCTAAAGCTTTTATCAAAGGGAGTTTTAAAGTAAGCTGCAAGGTTTATTTCATACCCTATAATTACACTGGCCATATCTTCAGGATTTTCTGTGGTAGTACAAGCTTCATGCATTTTTATCTTTCTAAAAAGAGACAATTCATTACATGTGTAAATAGCTGCGATTCAAGTTCTATGTAATTATAAGATTTTTTCATAAATCAGGAAGAAAGTGTACTTTTTCCAAACCTGTGTTCCAATTCTTTCTGGAAATGGTGTGGATTATATAACATGTCCCCTGCCAACTTCTCTAGGCTGATGTGGGTCTTACTGAGTTAATGCACGTGAGTGTGTTTTAAAACATTGAGTTGTACATACATTTGTAAGGTATTTTACAAGAAATACTAGATGACCTTTTGTGGGGCAAGGCAAGTCTACCTGGGCCTTCTCTTGTCATGTACCAGGGACGAATTCCACAATGTCCCATAGCTCTAACTAAAGAAGAGCCTCTGCTGGGTGAAGGGGAGATGCACAAGGACAGGGTCAGAGTGGAGAACAGGTACTTCCTCCCATCATCTCTCAGAACAATGACCTGGACGCTTCTGTTGCTTAGCAACGTAAACTCCCTTGACTGGGGGAGAGTGTCGGGTCAATCAGGCTGGATTGGGATGCAGATTTTTCTGCAAATTCTCCCTGCCCAGACACTAAATACCTGAGATAGAAAGGTATAGTCTTTCTGAGAGAAGAAAGTCAGTGGTCCCTGAAGAAGCTGAACTTGGGTGTGACTCTGTCTGGGATCTGGGCTTCCTGTCCTAATAATGTTGGCTTGGTTCCTGCCCCACACTTGGTGGCCATCTCTGGCCAGCCACTGGCAACTTATCACTCCAGGCCATCCTCTCTCAGGCTCTGTGGACGTTCAGACACCATGGTCACCTCTCTTCCAGCTCTGCCAGGGAACTTTCTTCACTGCAGCGGTTGCTTCCATACACACTGCTACCAATAATTGCTTCTGGCATTTCAAAATGTCTGAACTGGTAGGAAGCAGAATTCATGCCTTTGTGGTCATGCTACCGTACAGGGAAGAGCCCATACTGGCCTCCATGTGCCAACCATGAAAATTCAAGATAAATTCCACAGCACTTCTGGGATGGGTGAAGGCATCAAGTTCACTGGAGAAAGAAAAAGTCAGTGAGAGATGAGAGGCTGCTGTTGTTCCTTTTACTGCTACACCTTCAGAAAGGCCTAAAGAGGTTTGAGTGTCTTGTAGACAGGCAGGGGAATTCTACCAAACACTTAAAGAAGAGTTAATACCTATCCTTCTCAAACTATTCCAAAAAACTGAAGAGGGAACACCTCCAAACTCATTCTACAAGGCCAGCATTACCAAACCCAAAGACACTATTAAAAGAAAAAGAGAGAAAGAAAATTAGAGGTCTTTATCTCTGATAAATGTAGATGCAAAAATCCTTAAAAACATATTAGCAAATTGAATGCCACAATACATTAAATGATAATTCATCATGATCACTGGGATTTATTCCAGGGAAGCAAGGATAGTTCAATATCTACAAGTTAATCAATGTGATACACCACATTAACAAAATGAAGAATAAAATCACATGATTGTGGGCAGGGGTGGGGAGGGATGAACAGGCACAACACAGAGGATGTATGATACCATAATGATTGATACTTATGATTATACACTTGTCCCAATGTGTGGAGTGTACACCAAAAGTGAGACACAATGTAAATGATAGGCTTTGTGTGATTATGATGTGTCAATGTAGGTTCATCAGTTGTAATGAAGGTACAACTCTGATGGGGACTACTGATAATGAGGGAGGCTACACATGTGTGGGAGCAAAGGATATGGGAAATCTCTATCATTTCCAGCCAATTTTGCTGTGAACGTAAAACTGCTCTAGAAAATAAAGTTTTAGTGAAGAAAAGTGCAATTATACTCAATCATTCAAAGAAAAAGGCATGTGCATAGAACTTTGGCTATGCACTTTATAGGCTAAATTAATGAGTTATAATAATAATCATGTAGAAGGCTACTCTTTAAGGGATCATCAGATTTTCTACATCAAAAGTTACCCTGGATCACCCAGTCATGAAATTCTAATAATATATATAGTATATATTCCTCCTTTTAGAACAATGGGATATGTCATTGTTTAGAATATTAAGTTGGCCCAACTACATAGTCTGTGAATATTAGTTCAAAAAAACTTTAGTTAAAATACTAATTTTGAGAATGCCTGGAAGTAATTTTCTCTTATTCTGCTGTTTCATCTCTTAAATGTGGTAAGTAATGTCTAAAAGAGCCATTGTATCCATTCATTACAGTTTGTTTAAATTTTAACCAAACAAAGTAATATTTATGCCACCATTTTAATATAGCAGAGCATTATTCTCAATTCTGCAGGGTAATTCTGGCAGAAAGAACAACAAGCTGAAGTCCTGTTCTTGAGTTTTGCAATGTTTCCAAAATCAATTTTTGGAATCAGTTCTTATAAATCACTGCCGCCCAACCATTACAATCAACACACGGCATATATCAATGTTCAGCCAACCCAGATACTTAAAGAATTGACTGTGCTGAAGTGTTTTACTAAGCAAGAGTTATAGGCTATTTACAAAATATTTGGTTCCCTAAGGACCCAGATGTTGTTAAAGGTTTACAGAAGCTTATTTCTGACTCACCAGAGATTTAGAAAGCAGTCTTTTCTTTTTTTTCCCCCTCATTTCTGTGCTTATGTTATTTTCGTCTGCCCAATCGAACACTTTATCAGTTCATTAACTCTTCATTCCAGTTCAAGGTTTATGGTATGATTTTTCTTGTTGTTTTGTTAAAAATGGCTTTATAATATTTATATCAACTTTTATTTAAACTCTCCCGTGTGAGAGTTGGACCATAAAGAAGGCTGAGTGCCAAAGAATTCATGCTTCATTTTCAAATTGTGGTGCTGGAGAAGACTCTTTAGAGTCCCTGTAGAAGTCTCTTTAGAGTCCCTTGGACAGCAAGGAGATCAAACCAGTCAATTCTAAAGGAGATCAGTCTTGAATATTCATTGGAAGGACTGATGCTGAAGCTGAAGCTGAAGCTCCAATATTTTGGCCACCTGATGGGAAGAGCCAACTCATTGGAAAAGACCTTGATGCTAGGAAAGACTGAGGGCAGGAGGAGAAGGGAGTGACAGAGGATGAGATGGTTGGATGGCATCACCAACTCAATGGACATGAGTTTGAACAACTCCGGGAAAGGAGTGGAAAAGGAGGCCCATTGCTTTTCCAACTCTTAACCCAAAGATGGGGAGGGATTGGGAGCAGTGCTCAGAGGCTCAGCTGTGAACCATTCATCTCCTGGGAAGCCCTTTTCATTAAACTGTTTCCAACCTTCATCCATCCTCTCTTGCCTCCTTCCCGCATCCTGCTCCTCTCAGATCCTACTTTTCCATCCCTTTTCCAAAATATACAATGCATTCACTTGCCTTCGGGGAATCCAAAGTGCCCTATTCACTTGGAAGACTAGAACAGTAAAACATCCATAAAGTCACTGGGAAACATGACAGCTCCTGAGGGTAAATGAATGGCAGGAGGTGATCATACTTTTGGAAAGGTTGATTGGGAAGATGCATTTCAAGTTAGTAGTAGATTCACACCAAATCAACCATCTATGACTCAGACATGCAGGCCCACTGATTCACGGTGTATTCATTCAACAGAA